ACTATATTGCATATGTCACTTTACCTTTAAATCAATATCAGGGACTTCATACATGTACTTTGTACATTCACTTCATATGTTTGTCACTTTCCTACAATTGTCAATGTCAGAACCTTCATACTTATAGATATACTTTTTATAGTTTATTCTGCAATACTTACAATTTAGGATTGTATCATCCTTTTATTATTCCATTTTATGCTAATGTTTATTAAATGTTTAATGGTTTAATGGTTATTGTTGCACCAGGGGTCTGAGAGTAATGAAATTTCAATCTTGTGTAATGTGTATGTCTTGTACATAGTGCAGTTTTGACAATAAAGTTGACTTTGGCTTTGATATAGTTTTTGATTACCTTTAAGTATGTGTTAGGGAATGAGGGCTCTTTATCCTAGCCTAAACAATGACATTAAAATTACTCTATTACATACCTGCCAACATTTGATGATGGCGATGAGGGACACCTGTAAGTAGAAACAGAAACCCCCATACACAACAGAAATAGTTTTTTAATCTACTCAAAACTACACTTTTTTTTTTTTTTTTTTTTTGCTATTTGTAGTTCACTTCATAAAATTCTCAGTATTAAGCTAAAACATAAAATCAGTTTAGCCTATTATATATGTATTGAAAGGTGGAACACTGAACACTAACTGGCTTTTAAGGTGAACTTTATCTGAGATTAAACTGGAAAATTGTGTTACCTTTATTTATTTAGTTAGTTAGTTGGTTAAGTTGTGTTTACCCACTGAGCACCATGGGTTTGTTTTGACTCCATCACACTGTTCGTTTATCATGAAATATCTTCTGCACCATATAACTAAGTACACAAACAAACAGAAAATACAAGCTTCCCTTACAAACACCATGTCTGTGTGTGTACAAATCACAAGTCCACAATTTTGGACACAGCAACTACAGATTAGATATTTACTTTTAGTAGAATGTTAGACATTTAAATGATCTCCCCAAGCACACACACACATGCACACAATTCCTCAAGCAATATTTATTCTTACAGGCAAAGATGTTCAAGCTAATAAATGAAGGTTGATGGTTGAATCAATTAATAAACACACCTAAACTTCAACAACCAAATGTTTATGCTTTCTATTCTGAACGTGAGATAATTACTTTTTATTTTTTTACGAGCTCGCTTTACATTAGTACTCTGTAACTTTGCAATAGTTGGTTCAATCTAGTGATGGGCACAGTTCCGCTAATCCGCTAACAGCTAGCGGAACTAAATTTTGTTTAGCAGAACATATATTGAAGCTAACATTTTTGTTAGCTGTGCCCACCACTAGTGCTATCAGCATAAATCCAACAATTTCTTGCTGATAAATTCCGCTTTACATCCAGTATAAAAGCCATTTATTTGGCTCTTCTAGGGAGTGACCCATTCACATCAGTGACAATGCCTCATTTATTCTTCCACACTCAGAATGTACAAGATTAACAAAAGCAGACGGATCTTGAGAAGTTTTATTGACTCTTTAAAATAAAAAGACAAAAACAGTAGCCGTGACACTGTAAGCTCAAGTATTAGAGAGGTTATGTCTCAGAGTGACTTCCAGTCAAGTTACTTAGGCTTCTGGTACCTAAGTAGCACAGGATAGGTGGTGCCTATGTGCTTTTGGTTGTAGTGGTGACAAACAATCTCCACATCATACAAGCTGAACTGGACTTTGACGCGCTCATTGGGCGAGCTGAGGAAACAGAGGGTGTAGAGGGCGAACTCAAACTCAGGACTGACGCCGATGAAGATGCTCCCCTTGGGCTTGATTCCGTCCTTCCAGCTGAATTGTAGAGCCAGGATGTGTTTGTTCTCATCAGGCTGAAGTGAAGGGGTTGAGAAAAAAGGAAAGGGGGGGGAAAGAGAGAAGTGAGGAGAAATAAATCAGTCTGAACAGTGTCTCTGGCACATTTTCATCAGAAGACACACAAAAAACACTTACTATCCTAATGCATGCTCAATAACCCAGGTAGATCAATCTAACAAGGTAAAGTCAGGTCCCCTGGATGGATTCTTCTTGCTGAAATGTTTCATCTTTTATCCAAAATAATTCTTCAGTCTGAGGAGCTGCAACAAACTCAGTCTTATAAATAGCACCTTCTCATAGCGGATCTACCAGTTTGCTGGTGACAGTCAAAAACTGCTTGTTCACATGCAAAAGGAGAAACATCAGCCTAACAATTAATTGTTAGTGCCCTAACAATTGATTGTTAGGGCCCTAACAATTGATCGTTAGTGCCCTAACTACTGATCGTTAGTGCCCTAACAATTGATCGTTAGTGCCCTAACTACTGATCGTTAGTGCCCTAACATTTGGTCGTTAGTGCCCAAACAACTGCTCATTAGTGCTCTAACAATTGATCATTAGTACCCTAACAATTGCTCTTTAGTGCCCTAACAATTGATGGTTAGTGCCCTAACAACTGACCGTTAGTGCCCTAACAACTGACCGTTAGTGCCCTAACAATTGATCATTAATGTCTTAACTACTGATCGTTAGTGCCCTAACGATTGGTCGTTAGTGCCCTAACAATTGATCATTAGTGCCCTAATGATCGGTAATGCCCTGATGGTCACGTAAAAGACGAAACGTTTCATCTAAGAATAATTCATCCAGAGGATCTGACTTTACCTTGTTAGACTTGTTAAGTTGTTTAAAACACTATCAGATATTAAATAGTCAAAAACAATGTAACAATTTAATGTCTTAATGTCTTGTGTAGTGTGGATGTTTTATATCTACTGACTGTGAAGCTAATGGCCCCTCGGGGATAATAAAGATACTGGAACCTGAATAAATAAGTAACTCTTAAAACGACATTCACTATTCAATTTGGTCAATCAAGAAGTAAAAATCATTCATTCAGCATGTGGTACCTGAGGTGAATTTGCAGTGACAGTGTAGCCTTTATAATCAATGTGCCCCAGTTTTTCTTGCAAGTACAACTGGATCCAGTTGTGAAAGCCAATGACAGTTCGACCGCCTCTTGTCTCCCCAACAAATACGTGTTCAAACCCTGAAGAGTCCGGTCTGAAATAAAAAAAAGAACACATTTTCCCCTTCATGTTGTCTTGATTATTCATGTTTGTCTGTGTCATGAGGAGCCAGTTTCTCAGTGAAACAGTCACCATCTTGGTGTGAGTTCCGAAGTTATATTTGGATGTTTTTCCAGTTCGCACCCACCTGCTGGATCCTCTCCTCGCATAGAGCTCAAACCAGATCCTGTACAGCTGCTCCTTGAATTCTGTGTCATCTTCAGGAGAGAGATGCTTCTCCACCAGGTACTTATGGGCTATCTGAAAACAGTAAAAACAAACTGGAGCTCCTTCTGTCAAGTGCTGCCATTTTTTTACTCCTATAGCCGCAAAGGTGTTAAACAACAGAGGGGTGCATTTTTCACACTGCACAGTCAAATGAAATAAAATACAAGCAGAAGAAGTGAGGACTACAGGAGCTAACAAAATGAGCAAATAAACTAAAACAGGAGAAAGTGTTTGTTTTCTGTGAAAATAGTATCTGAATGCTGAGGGCTGGATGGCTTTGCTGCAATCTGCTGAAGAAACTAAAACTGAGGTGGTAACGCTCAAGAAGCAGAACACAAAGAAGATGATTACTACCTTCATGCTAAAAGGAGTAAAAGACTAGCTGAAAGCTAACTGTAGCAAAAGGCAAGCTTAAAGCTAAAAGTAAAAAATTGTTAGCTAGAAGGCAAGAGTAGTAAAGGGGTAGCTAAATGTATCAAAAAGCTATCTAAGCCACAGAACAGAAGTACAGTTGTTAGTTTGTTTAACTAATTTTTATTTTTACTAATGTCCTGGATGTCTGAGAATCTACAGCAGCATATCTAAAAGCTAAACATATCAAAATGCTAGCTAAAAGATAAAGTAACAGAAAGGTAGCTAAAAGCTAAAAGTAACAAAAGACTAACTAAAGCTAAAAGTAGTAAAACACAAGCTCAAATGAAAAAATATCAAAAGGCTAGCTAACAATGGAAAATATGAAAAGGAAGGTTAGATAAAAATATCAAGAGTAAATATAAGATAAAAGTTGCAAACATTTAGCTACAGATGCAAAGTAACAAAAGGCTCACTGAAAAGTAAAAGTAACAGAAGCTAAAAGTAGCAGCAACATGGTACCGAAAAGTTTAAAGTAACAAAAGGCTACCTAAAAAACTTAAAGTAGTAGATAGGTAGCTACAAAGTGAAAGTAGCAAAAGTATAGCTAAAAGCTACAAATAGCAAAACAGTAGCTAAA